CATTTTGATGAACAAAGATCTTGGAGAAATAAATGGACTTTTGCAGCAATTCATTCTGAAATGTCCTATACCTCTTGCCTTGTGGATGCCTTGTATGTGAAAACGCTGAGAGAGAGTTTTCTAAATGGAGTTAACGTTTTCTTCTAGAAAAAAAAAAACACCTTAACCTTTCTTTGTGCTTTTGAAAAGTAATGCTTTATGCTTAAAAAAATGCCTAACAAATACCTAACAGCCACAGTGTTGGGTTGCAGGGCTTTGTGCCTGTACCAGGTACCTTCTAATATGCCATTAAAACTGTAGCTTTAAAAAGGAAGTGGTCAGACTGAGATAATGCAGTCATTCATTTTGCTCTTATTTTGTTCCGTACATAGTAAATGCATTTTTATTATAAGAATTTGCTTTTTTAATCTTGTGAGTCTGAAGAGGGAGACATAGTTGCTATTTTGAGAAAGTAAAAGGAGGTTACTATGACAGGAGACTGGTAAGAGCTGAGCAAAAGAAAGGTGGGGTTGGGCACTGACAGATTGGCTGAGAGCAGAGAATTTTTTCTGAGCACATAGTCTCCTACTCTCCAGCTGTGCTTCCTGCCCCTCACAGTTGCCATTTTGGCCACATAGGAAGGGGGCTACAATTCAGAGCATCTCATGTGCCTGCAGAAAAAAAACAAACTTCTGATGTATATCCTGATATACAATGCCTATTACTACTGATAAGAACAAATCTAGTAAATCCAAACACTCACTAGCTCACAAGCAGAGCATGCAGGCCAGCAACTTCTTAGTCCTCTCAGGCATCCAGCACCTGCCCAGGCTCTTGTGTGGTGAAGAGGTCCTGCTTTTCAGGTCACTCTTCCTCACTGGAGTCCATGTCAGTCCTTGCATCCCTCCATTGCTTCAGGAGTATCACTACCAGCTGCAATTTGGTGGTAGCATCCCCTGATGAAACCTTGCCCAGCTCTGCGTAGTATGGAAAGGAGGCACAAGCACTACCAGGGATCCAGGTTTTCCTTGTTTTCTTGTAAGCTGATTTTACATTGTAGGTTTCAGCCCTGCCCTGGTTCTAACCCGACTCAGCCATCCCTTTGGTGGTGGCTTTATAAACATCCTTGTTGCAATGTTTCTTCTCCAAGGTTTCTTGAACTTTCATCTCCTAGAAGGCAAGATATTTCAGTACCTCTGTAAGGCTCTAGATAGGTGTACAGTGCCTTGTATAGTTCAGTAATGGTGAATTGATACCAATTTCAGGAGTGTACAACAGAAAATGGACCAATCCTAGTTATATGCTATCATTAAACATCCTCCTAACCTTGCCCAACTCATCATCAGAAGCAAACTCCCCACTGCCCAACAAATACCAGGTGGGACATAGCAAGATCTGCTTAACCTGTCAACATATCTCCACTGCTACTACAATCAACAACCCACCACAACAAAACCATCAGAATCAATGGTTCCTACACATGCGTTTCCCAAAATGGGATATATCTGATCTAATGCGCCAAATGACCTCATGGCACCTAGGAGGGTAAGACTGAACAGCAGCTACTCACCAGAATGAGCTTCCACCGGAAAAAAAAAGGACAGAGACATACATACACCATTAGAAGCACATTTCTCACAGACCAACCACTCCCTTTCTGACCTTGCTATCCATCCTCGTGCTCAAGGGAGATCTGCTTAACACCTTTAAAAGGCAAACAACTTAGGAACAAAAAAATTCATAAGCTGTCTGGACACTAAGTACCAGGGTCTTAACAGTGATAGTGGTTTTATGGCACATTATAATCTACTTGATTCCTGAATTTTGCCCACACACAAAAGGTGAGAGTGACCCTCCTCCCTTTTGATAAGCCTTGGTCTCCCAGTTATATCAGCTTCTTTTCTTTTGCTAATTGTTTGTCTGTTACCTCTGGGAATTTCTCTTTGCTTTCTTCCTTACTCTGCTATGCTTATGCTTAAAAGGTATCACTCTAAGAAAAATGTGCCTCTTGCATCATTTTACAGAGCCATGATACCTGGTCAGCATGACCCCAAAGTGCACTTAGGGAAATAGACCCATTGTTTCTGGTGCAAAGCACTTGGAGGACCTCCAAAATCGTGTGCAGCACAGGTTTACTTACATAGACGTTAGTATACATTAATATGCTGCAAACTTACAAGTGGACTTGAATCCAGAATATGAACTGTATCACCAGCTAATACTGTTCTAAGAAGTGTGTTGTATGAATACGGACCATCAAAATGCTTAGAAATTGAGCTTGTTGCAGTATAAACACCTCAGTGTAGGTCAGGCTTGTCCAACATATGGCCTGTGGGCTGCCATGCAGCCTGCCAAGCCATTTTCTGAGGCCCACGGTGCTGCAATGGGAAACGAAAGTAAACACTGTTTACTTTTGTTCCCACCCCTTGTCCCTCCTCCAACCCCTCAGCAGCTTCCTGATGGCTGCTGAAGGGCTGGGGAAGGGACAAGGTTCTCACACGCACCGCGTCAGCTTGATGTTGCTGACGCAGTGCGTGTAGGAAGAGGAGTAGCCATATGCTGCTCGGGACAGGATGAGCCCAGCCGGAGCAGCTGGGGCTCAGCTGCACTTTCCCCCTACCTGTGCTGGTCATGGGATGAGCCCAGCTGGAGTGGCAGAGGCTGAGCTGCATTTTCTCCCTGCCTGCACCGGTCAGTCCCGAGCAGCACATGGCTACACCACCGCTTCTGCTGGCTGGTGCCAACCTGGCAGGGCTACTCCTGTCCCCAGTAGCACGTAGAAAGCCAGCTTCAGCTGCATGCTGCTCCGGATGGGACAGACCTGCCCAGGTCAGCACCAGCCAGCAGGAGCAGTGGCGGAGCTGTGTGCCGCTCGGGACTGACCAGCGCAGGTAGGGGGAAAGTGCAGCTGAGCCCCTGCTGCTCTGGCTGGGCTCATCCTGAAGTTCATTTAATGTTTGTAAAATGCTTGGAGAGCCCCACATAGATGCACTACATAGAAATGCAAAATATATTTTATTTGGTTGGCACCTTAGGCTGAAACTTTCAAAGCTGAGTCAAAAGGCCAACTTCCATTAATATGAATGGGATTTAGAGGGCTCCAAATCTTTTATGACAACTTTGTAACATGCCTATCTACCCCTTTTTGCAAATCTCAGCCATAGTTTGGAAGCTCAGGCAAAGAACATAAGAGCTTTTGAACATAAGAGCATAAGAAGTGCCATGCTTGGTCAGCCCCATGGACCACCTAGCTCAGTATCCTGTCCCGAACAGTGGCAGAGGTGGATGCTATAGAGGGAGAGTTTTGAACTGGTTAGACCCATTTCATTGTCACTTCCTGCAACTTCATTGGTGTCGAAGGTCATGTGACATCACTTCCTGATGTGATACCACTTCCTGTGAGGTCTCTGAATATGGCTCGCCGGCCCACTGGGTGATAAAAAGTTCATGATCTGGCCCCACATTCAAAAAGGTTGGACACCCCTGGCGTAGATTTATTAGCTTTTGGGATAGCCACATTGACTTTACAATTTAAATATTTCGGTTTTGCTGAAAAGTGAATTGGAGGCATTATAAAGGAAAGGCTGCTCTTGATTTTAATGGGGTTTGGATTTGGCCAACAGGTAGCAGATTAACAAACATGAAATAAGAAAGCCTTAATATGTGTTTTACTGATGCTCTCGTCGTGTTCTGAATCAGTGCAGGACCGGTCCAACCATTAGGCGAATTAGGCAGTTGCCTAGGGTGCCAAAATTTGGAGGGCGCCAAAATTATACGCAGAACAAAATAACAGGAACATCATTCTAAATAACAGCCCTGGCCACCTACAGCTCCACCTTGGTCTAAGACCTTTGGTTCGGTAAGGCGAGAAAGACCTCTGAAAAGATCTCAGAGGAAAGGACAGTAGAATCATGACTCCTACCTTTTCAACTCTCAAACGGACTTATGACGAGCATACTGCTGGCAATGTCATCCTAAAAGATGAATCCGTATTCCTTAGATTTCTTATTTTTCTTTATATTGGAGGTGGTGGGGGTGCCGAGGTACATGGTTCGCCTAGGACGCCAATTACCCTTGGACCAGCCCTGCGTCAGCAGTGCTCAACCTCTGGCTCATGGGACATATCTGCAGATCCATATCATCTGGCCTGCAGGGCTCCCCAGGGGTTAGAAATTTGGCAACAGGAGGGCTATGGCAGTTAATACTGCCATTGTTCCCCTCTGCCAAATTCCCAAACCCTGAGGGCCAGGTGACACGTTCCTGTGCATGTCAGGGCTGCAGATGTGATTGGCCTGAGGTTAAATTTGGTAGACAGGGTCCCGGCTAGAGCTGGAGCTGTGCCCAGTGCAGGGATGGGATGTAGAAGACAGGCTGGATCTAGCTTGCTGACTGACCCTGAATCGTATCCACTCATCTGGCCTTGGAGTAGAAAAGTTGGGCACCACTGGTCTTGATCTAGCTCAAATTTGCATGTAAGTTTGTGGAACTGGTAGGCTTCCAAATTGCTTTAAAATTGTGTGTGTGTGTATAGTGGTGTTTCATTAAAAACGCAGACATTGTGGCTTTTTAATCAGAGAATTTTGATTTTTTTTATCAGAGAATTTTGGATCTTTAAACAGAGAAAAACAGGATCCCTGTACCATTCAGAATCAAACATAGCATGACCCACTACATTCAATTTCCTTAACGTATTTCAAAATATATCTGTACATTATAAACTCAGCAGGATATTGTGGTTTGATTTTTACGAAGTTAACATCTCATGAGTTAAATGTTACATTTTACTGAACCATGTTGTATTAGGGCCTGGATCTTATGGCCTGTGCTCACTTGAGCATGGTCACTGCACTAGAATAAAAATGAACACATTTTTGGGATAGAACCCTTCGTTCTTTATAATCATCAATTTACCCTTTAAAGAGCAGTAAAATTTTTCATATTTTCTAAATCTTTTTTCTTTGTTGCAAATTAAAATTTATTAAAAATCTCTTTTTTTCTTAAATAAATTACTTATTTTGAAGGTCCGACAAGAGTTACTAGAAGAATATGAACAAGTCAAGAGTATTGTTAACACGCTAGAGAGTTTTAAGATGGACAAACCTGCAGATATTCCTGTATCCTACCAAGATGAACCTTTTAGGGATCCTGCTGTTTGGCCTCCTCCTGTTCCAGCTGAGCATAGGTAAGTGGGTTTGAAAGCCAGGTGGGTTGAAATCACTGATTTTTATATAAAAATATAATTTTTATCAAAAGAATACCTTTAAATGCATTGTTATTGCTAGAAATAAATGCTTGAAATAAAATGCAACATTATGACCATTTATAATTAAGTTCTACAGGTACTATAATCAATTGCAATTTATATTGAATTAAAATAAGCAGGACAGGTTTGCTAAAGAAATCTTGAAAAAAGTCAGATTGCTGAACTGGTTGGGAGTGAGTAGTTAAATATCGGAAATGAGAATTTCTTGGAGTGCTGAGCCAGCCACTGTAGAGAAAATATTTTCTTCTTTTTAGTTTATTCAGCTAGTTCAGGTCTGTCCAGCTGGTGGCCTGCAGGCCCAGTGGTGACACGTAGCAGATGCATGGGGGTTCACGTGCATCCCCTGAGAGTGCTGGTGCATTCCCTGACAGCCAGCATTCCCTGCTTAGGTGACAGGCGGGGGGGCAGGTGAGAGTGCTGCTGCCCCCCTGAGAGCACTGGCTAGGGAGTGGGGGTACCAGGAGAAGTGCTGCTGGCACTCCTGAGTCAGTGAGATAGGCCGCAGGGGGACACCCTGGTCGCTGACTGGCCGCTGGGGGGGCAAGTGCCCCCCCCCAACTTAGGAGGCACCAGTCGCCCATATGCAGGCCTCATGTGCCTTCTGAGGGGTTAAACTGTGTTTCCCAGGTTCCTACCTGGCCACTACTTTCCCCATTGCTTCCATTGTAACAGCAGCCAGAGTTTCTGGGCTCCCCTTTCCTCCTCTGGCTGATGCTTTTTACCTCCATCCCAGGGTGTGGAGCAGTACAGGGACCTGTGAGCAAACTTGGGATGCACAGGCATGCAGTGCAGCAGTACAGGGAGGGTCACTGGCCCCTAGTGTAGTGGGGGAGGGTCACAGGCATGTGGTGGAGGGATTGCAGGTGCATAGTGCAGTGAAGTGGGGGAGGGTTATATGCACAGTATAGAAGTGGGGGGATCCACAGGCATACAGTGCACAGGGGGTCACAGATGTGCCAAGTGGGGAGGATGGATCACAGGCATGCAGTGCATTGGTAGGCGGAGAGCATCCATGGAGCATGTAGCCCAGGGGCCCATGGGTGCCTCTGGTGCAGCCTATGTAGTGTGCAGCCCCTGGCTGCTTGGAAGTTGGATGGCTCTGAACTAGTTTAATGCTGTGATGGTACAGGGACTGACTGACAGTTGGAAACCCTGGAAGACATGTGACTAGAAACAACTGATACAATTTATAATTGGTATGTTGTTTAGTTTTAACGCAAAACATGTTTATCTTTTCTTGATATAACCAATGCACTTACATTTTAATTAATTAATAAATAATTTTGAAAAATCTGTTTCAACATTCTGTGAAATTTGAGTTGCCATTCAAATAGAGCTTGAAACAAATTGAAAAGTTTTAAAAAATTGTTTTAAAAATTCATCATTCATCATTTTTAACATAATAAAAACAATTTCAGGATATTTGAATGAGTGCACTTTAAGCTACATAATTTTAAATAAATGTATTTAGATATGTATTATCTTGGTTAGCAGAAAGAAATAGCAAATATAATATAAAGGCTATATACTTGTAAATCAGCACTTTAAATGGTAAACAGCCAATGAGAATCCACCTTCCTTTGGAAAATAATTTAAAAAATGCAAATGCAAAACAAGTCTAAATTGGATGATCTGAATCAAGATTTCCTACTTGATTTAAATCAGGGCTAGGCAAAATACGGCCTGCAAGGCAGATCTGGTCTGCCAAGGGATTTTGTCCAGCCCACAGCACGTCCCTCTGCCCCATGCAGCCCAGGTGCGGTGGGTAGCTTGGGCCATGGTGCAAGTGGCTTGTTCCACTGCCCCCGAGTGTGCAGCAGGGCTGGGGTGGTGTTGCAGCTGGATTTGCTTTCCAGTGGCTTCTTCTGGCTGCTAGACCCAGCTCTACTGCCCGGGTACCCTAGTGAGTCTGCTAGAGGCTGCAACTGCACAGGCAGTATGCATGGCCAGATGTCTGGGATGGGGCCACAGGCAGGCAGGCAACAGTGTTCAGGAGTGGGATAGGTGGAAGATGCCAGGATCACAGGGTGGGATCGTGGGGCAGTGACAGTGTGGGGCTGGGGCAGAGCCATGATCTGCTGCCTGTTGGCTTGGGCTTCATGGGCAGGCATGCGCGGGGAGTGGATCACAGTTCTGCCCCGAGCCCTGACCCCATGCTGTCACCACCCCAAGATCCCAGACCTGGCCCTGGATGCAGTTCTCTGCCCACCTGTGGCCCCATCCTGTCTGCTTGCCTGCATGGGTCCCAGCTGGTCTCCATAGAGAACCCAGAATCGCTGGGTGGTGACAGTGTGGGGCTCGGGCCAGGGCTGGGGCCCAGGACAGAGTCATGATCTGCCCACACTACCCTGTGACAGGCACCAGTTCTGTGGGAAGGGGCGTGTAGAGAGTCGATTATGGCTCTGCCCTAGGCCTGGCCCCATGTTGTCACTGCCCAGTGATCCCAGGGTTTCCACGGGGACTGGCCAGGACCTCCTGTGGACAGGCAGATAGGGTCGGGGGTGGCATCCAGAGGTAGGTCTGGGATTGTGGGGTGGTGACAGTGCAGGGCCAGGGCCCGGGGCAGACCCGTGATCCACTCCCTGTATACTCCTGCACGTGGAACCCATGTCTGTCACAGGGACATGTGGGTAGCAGATCACAGCTCTGTGCTAGCTCAACCCCATGTTGTCACTGCCCTGAGATCCTGTCCTGTGATCTGGGCCTCACCCACCCATCCCGCTCCCAAACACTGCTCCTCACCCACCTGTGACCCTATCCCAGCTGCCTGGCTGAGTGCGGTGGCCATTGAGGGAGTTTTGGTGAGCTATGGCAGGGAGGGAGGGGGGTGCTGACCCAGGCCACAACAGCTCACCTAAATTCCCTATGTGGCCCATGAGCCCAAATAATTGCCCACCCCTGATTTAAATGGTTAAAATTGGTGATATACATCCTCTGCAACAAAAAAGAAGATCGATTTGTTGACACATGAAAAAACCCTGCATTGATGGGTATATCTGATTTTTTGAGGAATTGGGTTATTATCATACAGTAGAAATGAAAGTGTGTTTGGCTATTATGGATAATGTATTTATGTTAAGGCCTACAATTGAGGTTTGTCAGTATGTTGAAGTTGCCTTAACTAATGATTGCCTTGATAAGAAACTCACTTGAGCAACTATGCATTTGTCAGAATTTCCTTTTGTGATATTAAAATTATCATAGAATCATAGAAGTCGGGTCGGAAGGGACCTTGTAGATCTTCAGGTCTGACCCCCCGCCTGGGTGGGAGAAAAGACTGGACTCAAATGAGTCCAGCCAGGTAGGCATCAAGCCTCTTCTTAAAGATCCCCACGGTAGGAGCCAGCACCACTTCCCTAGGAAGTTGGTTCCAGCTCCTAGCCGCCCTAACTGTGAAGTAGTTCTTGCAGATGTCTAATCTAAACCTACTCTCTAATAATTTGTGTCCATTGTTCCTTGTCATGCCAGGGGGCGCTAGGGGAAACAGTCTCCCTCCTAAACCCTTCTGGTCCCCCCTAGTGAGTTTATAGACAGTCACCAGGTCCCCCCTCAGCCTTCTCTTGTGAAGGCTGAACAGGTTCAGGTCCCTCAGTCTTTCAATATAGGGTCTGCCCTGTTGTCCCTGGATCATGCAGGTGTCCCTCCTCTGGACCCTTTCAATGTTGTCCA